TTGCGAGAGACTCACCTGGACCCCAGCTGAATCTGTCGTTTGTGATGTTTCCAGGCAAATGAACGTGTTGTACCGGCCCCCCTCATGATTTAGTCGCTACGATATTCGAGATATCGCGATAAATGTACATCTTCGTAATATACATGAAACATGAGGCGCCTGGTGCAACTTCCAGAAATACCGATAACGAGTTCAAGAAGGCCGAACAGGTTGGTTTTATTCATTGCCTATTGATTGGATCGATGTAAAGGGAGCATAGGAGAAAAATTAACGGGCCGTCGAGAAACGCGGATAAATATTGAGCATTACTGAAAGACTCGGCAATGGTGCTGTTATATCTGACTGCCGTTCACACTACAGGTGACAGAGAAGAACTCACCGACAAGGGTACACAATAACTTTTTTCCAAACAAACAAGTGCGTGTGAGTGCGAAAGTTACAAAGGCCCCACGCTATTTAAAAGGTACTTCCTGACATTAATCCAGGCTGTCTGGTAGGTAAACACTCATCAATATCGATCGTGCTTCTGTGAAATGCGTGAAAGCTGATCATATTCAATCGTGCTTCTGTGGCGTGCTGAACACTCATCGGCATTTGCTAAATTGATTGAATGATTAACTGGCCTGGATGCTTGCCGGCTTTCCTATTGAGATTTTGGTGGAATTTTAGGGTCTCAGTAGATTTTGGGCGCTCTGAAGTTACTTTCAGGAATCTGACCACCCTGATAGACACAAAATGTGTTGGACACGGGACACAAACTAGATTGGGAAAATATTGAGATTTGAGTCGGAAACCACGTTTCATGCCACAGAAACTGATGACCAAGGCGGTGGAAATCACCAAGCCTCCAAGTATAAATAGAACAGAAGGCGCAGAACTGGCAAGCGTGTGGCGAGCGGTTTTCAGATCACTCGAACTGATACGTGGTGATGTGCGGTCATCCGAAAGTGGACTCACCAACAGAAGTAGCTTACATCCGAAGTGCACCTAATCTTATCTGCCCAAAGTGAATTGTCGTAGCACATACAGGCCAGCAGAGACCGCAAAATTTTTCCATTGGATCGGAATGATTGTGGTAAGCTAGCGCTAAATCCATTTTCCGTCCAACTTTATTATTTTCTTTACAATAAGGCTTTCAAATAAATCATGGTTGTACGGCAGTGAAGCATCGGTGTTGAACACTGATATCATATCGATGATGATGATGATGATGATGAGTTGTAGTTGGAAGAAAACAGGCTCAAACGCGATTGCATCTTATCTGGCCGAAACTGGTCATGTCATAGACAGGGAGCAAGCATTCACGATCATATACCGGGTACTTCTGAAGCGATCACGACTGGTACGATCTAGACTACTATCGATCGCTTACGCGATTGGAATCCGACTGCTGGATCCACAACTTTGCATCCAAAAGAAACTTGTGCGACCTCTGAAGCGGTCTGTCTGACATTGACGTCACTCAGCTGATTCCGTGACCCATGGACCTACCCCTCATTCAACCCCTTCCTTTGATTTCTTTTTCTCTAAAGTGTATGTAGCCCCGATCTTAACTCTTTACACGTGATTTCTGGTACCACATAAATTTGTGATGTATTAGCCAATAGGAACAATCACAGAAAACAAGCTTTGTTCGCTACCTTCTTCGTTCCCATGACTATCACAGGTATATTCAGCCACTTGAGACGATAAGAAAATCCTCCAGCTCATCAACATAGGCAACGACACAATCGACGAGACCCTTAACTGACATTCAAAACTGATCTAGCATGCTGCGTGGCATGAGTGGGAGTCATCTGACAGCCTAGCTTGAATCGATAGATTCAGGCACACGGTTGTTGCCACGTTTCAACCGCCGTAATTTAGACTGTTTCGTTTGTCGCAAGACAAGGACACAAAACTGCTTGAATTAAACTCACATTTGAGAATAAATTAAACGACCAGATAGGTGCTCAAATCGCCTTGGAGGTACCTTCCAACGTTCCTTTGCATCCCAATAGCGAACAGCCTACTTGTATGCTTTACCAGTAGTGTAGTCAGTAGCCTGCATCCACATTAAATCCGCAAGACTTGTGGTTACATATGGACTGCCAGCGATCCCGGAAAGCCCTTGATTAGAGGCTTGCAGGCATAATCTGTTATCGACAGTTGTGCTGAACAACACGTGTCCCCTCTTTTGGGTGCACATGAATGTCGGTAGGTTCGTTCATGGCGATTTGTGCACTTATATGGTCAGTGTATCTCTCAAATGCAAATATAATTCGAGATATTTGGTGCCCTTGTCTTGTGATAAACCAGACAGTCTGTGTGGTTGAAACGTGGCGAACTGCAATAACCGAGTGTCTGGATTTGTCGATTTTAAGCTAGGTTGTTAAATGGCCCCTACTCATACCATTAAGATATACATTTAATCTAGCTTCAAAGACACACTGACCGCAATGTGGTGAACCTGTGGTGACAGTGCGAAATCCGAGTTATCCTGTGAAATTGGACAGTTGCGTGAGGTGGGGAAATTAAAGTAAGAAATATTGCGCTTTCAGACAACAACTTGACCGCAAAAGTCCTTCTTACCCAAATTACTCTATTGAGGTCATCAAATAGTTCTTCCATACAGAGTGGTTCCTGAAGATTCGGAAATGGGGCTAGCATATCCATCATCCAATGTCCAAATCTGTAGCAAAGCTGGCTGGCTAATCGAACCGCAGGTTTATGCCACATGTAGTAAAACCAAATAGAATTTGAATACAGTGGGAATTTCGTGTATCTTATCAAATCCGAATTAATGCGCGTCAGTAATGAGCGTCATTTCGGTGCGTTGTCTATGGATGGTGTCATAGCTGAAACCGTTTCTCTCTGACCGAAAATTGGGCAACTATGTGGAAGTAGATATGCACGGTCTACTCACTGACGCGATTCGCAAGGAGTTTCGCACCCGGTTTGAATACGGTCTATGGGGAGATGTGTTTTTTCGCATGTTTCTCCCGTTCTCCGGTTCTCCAGCTATGAGGAGAAAGGCAAACCGACTAGTCAACGCGTGATCCTTTTGGATGGTCTCCAAGCTGGCTATCAACACATCTCACTGCGTCCCAAAGGCAACTTCCCTCTTTCTCTGCCAAGTCAATCTCATCACGTACGTAGAGGATCGTTTCATCCAGTCAGAATGCCAAAATGCATCAGTAATTCTGTCAGACTGGAACGGACGGACAACAAGTGGATTTATCACGCTCTGTGGAACCTGGAGAAGAGTGGGTAGCTCAACGCCAGGTGTACACAATATCTTTCCAGTTCGCCAGTAGCTGGGTTAGAGGAAACGGCCTCACATCTTTTATGTGACTCTGATGTAGTTTGAAACATTTGAGATATGACTGAAGGATCAGCGCCGCCACATCCTGTCTAGGCGAGACGGAACGCCATTCGTTTCCAAACGGTTAGCTGTTCAAGCACTGTACACGGGAGGTCGTGGGTTCGAAGCTGGCTGAGTTCCTTGAGATGCGCACTGTTGATGATTCTTAAAAAGGATAAAACAGCTGTACGATGCTTCTTGGCGTTTCAGCATTGACTAACCTCACTGACAGGTCGTCATAACAATTGAACATTTGAGGATGGCTGGATTTAGTCCCTGCCAAGAACATTCTCAGGTGCTTTGCCAGCAATGTAGCGACTTGAATGTCGAGGTAGGTTGTCGCGGAAATACTGAGTGTTTAAGGCTCCCGGAAGTTACGAACGATGAAAAAGGATGGAGAGGAAGTTTTTTGGGAGTTCTCGACTTAAAACCCCTTCACGGAGACTGGAAATTCCATGTAGCGTTAAACCTCCACCGGTGAAAAGTAGGAAAGCCTTTGATCGCGGGAAACACCAACGAAACAGTTACAAACTATCGGACAGGAAACTAGACCACTCATATGTACCTTGTTTTTTAAAAACGGAATATCCGTCTTCTTCTTGAACTTTCCTGGATATGCATTGAGTATCACGCGATTGTAAGTGAATGCTGTAAAGCAGTTCTGCAAATTCCGTAATAAACTCCATCTTCCAATAGACGCGAAACGAAGTTAAGAAAAAACAGACTACTCGCATGCCTCATCAGTAGTATTCACCGTTAAAATGGTAGATCGTCTGTATATCGTCTTGTTTGTGACAGACCTTTGGATAAGATGCGTATGTTTCACTTTTTAATATTTGTATTACTTTTTCCATACGGCTATAGTGTATATACAGTGTAAAAATATTTGCAGTTTTTCGTCCAAGTAGTTTTTTGTCACCTAAATGCAATAATTTGATGGTATGGGTCCTCAGAAAGTGCATCTCCCTAGGTGCTACAAGCTGGAACATGAACATATATGCTTGAACATCGTATTAAGTGAAACATGAGGTGACCCGTGCACAGTACACTCAGATGGAGAATATCGCCAGCCGAGATTTAGCTGGAATGGAATTGAGTCTTCCGTTAAAACCAAGTCGGTCTGAGAATGAGTGTATTTCACGAATAAAAAAATGTACACTTATCTTCAGGGTAACATATAAGGATGGTGGTGCTTTGACCGGCGGGATTTTTCTAATCCTGGACACTGGATCGTTCTTCACATATCTTCCGGCGCGATTGGTTAACGATCTGATATCCAAAACTGGGGCAAGGCCATCTGGAAAGGACTACATTGTTGACTGCCACTCAATCGAGAAGATGCCAACACTGGTATTCCATTTCACTGACTTCCAAATAGCCTGGAATCCGTCGCAATATGTTGATCAGGCGAGTTTATGCAGAACTTGTGTGTCCATATTACTGGTTTTTCGTAAAATGCCGATCACAAACAGGGTAGTGAAATTCCAGATGTGTCATTTTTTGCGTGGATGAATGAATTGTTCTCTCTTAATGAATGCTAGTAGTGGCCGTTGGAATCCGTCACTTGGTTTACGCGCCACAGACGGGGATGGAAACTGAGGGCGCCATATCCCAATGAATTGTTCTTCCGCAGTGAATGGTAGCAGTAGCCGTCGGAATCCGTCACTTGTTTTACGCGCCACAGACGGCGTTGGAGAATGAGGACTTCCATCCATCATGACCAGCAACTCACGCTCCTGCATTGACTACTGTGATAAGACACTAGTAGTGTTCATCAAATTGTTTAGACTGTGTAATACGTCACCCGACGGAAGTGGTCACATGTATTACTGAAGTCACGTGAATACGTAACGCATCCGATGCTCCTAGTCTAGGGATGGGAACATTCAGTTTCAACACTATACCTATGCTTTCATTGGTGGCACTTACAAAGTGAGACGAAATGTGTTCTGCATGTTATTGTAAATTTTGGTTTGAGTTCTATTCATTTTTGTGTGAATCGATCGATGCCGATCACACCAGTTGATTCTTGGACAGCCTAAGAAACGAAAGTTTCGGGCACATAAAGGCGACACGTGTAACGCATTTTATCAAAGAATTGAGGAAGGTCATTAGCTGGTCAGCACTTATGGACAAAGTTGAACGTGATTTTTAGTGTGCCTGAGAGTGCTACGAGGAATGAACTACAAACTGTCCCGTCCTCGAATACACTTTCACACGCGAGGAGGCAGCGGTCTGTGTTCCATTTTGCAGACGGATCCGGACTTTTGAAGTTACAATCAAGGCGGAAGGTACATGAATTGTATCCTGTTTGAACACCAGTCATGCATGGCACATGAATTCCGGGTAACCAATATTCAGCATCGAAAACAGTACTTTCGTTACTGTTTGAAATTTGTTTTTTCTGGGCTGCATGGCAAGATTTCAGTTTTCTGTTGCGTACGCTTTCTGCTAAACATCGTGTGCCGATGCCATGTAAACGATTCCAAAGAATTCGACCGTCGATTCACCTATAAAATCCTGGGCAATGAAGGCATCACCCTGTTGTCAGGTGGAATAAATCACTCCAGGAATAATTACTAACAGAGCACTAACACACAAAGTACTATGACAGGTCGTGACTTGGAAACCACGGTGAAGTAAAACATTTTTTCAGCTAGCGACGTGTCCTTGAAAAAACTGACGACCTTCGCAGTCTTACTTCAAGAAAGCCGGAGAGAAGTGCCTTTTTGGTACTAGCTAGACACTGATATTCCAGACTAGCTAGTGACCCTCAAAGACTCTCCGTTGACCGTTGGTGAATCGGTATGCAGCTGACAAAAAAATGATGATGGCGTTTGGCCACACATAAGTCCTCGCTAGTTAACATCCTGGAAATAAACTCACAGTCCGATCGAAGCTGTTCAGAGCGACACGGACACTTGGCCCCGTTTATGGCGTGTGCTTGATTTGTACACTGGTTCGCGAAACGCAACCTTACTTTACTTCTGCCCACTGCATCGTCAGTGTTGCCTGAAGTGAATACCGATTTGAGCCGGCAAACATGTCCAAAAGCGCCGAATGCGTAAGTGTATTCCCTTGATCATCTCCTGAGATGGAGATCTTTTCCCGCAATGCGATTTACTTTCTTTCTACCTAGTGTACCGTCGGAATTCATATTATCCTTGGTATTGTAGTTCACAGTAAGTCAGAAGAGCACGTTAGTACAGACACGGGCGTACTGAGTACAAGCGGCCAAACTGGTCCGCTTTCGTGGCAGTTAAGCAAACAACTGAGTCATATATCCAGTCAACCCACAACGCTCACGCGAGCCAACCAATCGGACACGCATCCAGTCAGCCACTCACGTCACAGTCCAGATCGATGGTGGAACGCTGAACGGACATGCACACGCGCAAAATCTCGGACACACCGAAGCAGCCACTACACTTGGGAAGCCCTGTATTCATAGATCCGAGGGAAAGACTGCGACTAATAGATGATCCATTCTGCACCAAGTACATCCACTTGCACACCAGTTTGGTTTTAACGAAAGACTCTACTGAATCCCAGCAGAATGTTTCGTTTCTGATAGCCTTCAGGTGAATGTGATGTGCGAAAGCTGCCACCACGTGTTTCACATGGTGTGATATTCGAAATAAGCTTATTGGATACTCTTCAACAGCCCGCTATCGGTTTCGCCCTTCTTGGGGCTCATCAGGTTGGCACAGTTTTCGAGTTTCTGTCAACCCTGCGTTCTACTTGTACCAAAATTATACGCTACTGGTGAACTTTACTCGTCTGCAAACAAATGTGGTTCTGCCATGAGACCAAACCAAATCAGAGCCGATTGTTTCTTTCACGACATCCTTCAAATGAATGAGCTGCCCAAAGCCAAATTAGTTGATAGATGAGAATACTTCGCGGATTCGAGAACACACTTACCTCAAGAGGTCGCCATGCCATTCGTCCGAGTTTGTACAAGCCACCACGGGGTCCACTTTGCCAGAAATCAGTTACCATCTAACAGGTTGTGTAAATTAAGACAATCTTTACTGAAAAGCAAAGAAGTATTGTGCATCCAGTCCATCCTCATTGGGGATAGTCAGCAGTGCACATCTCAGGAGGTCGCCAAATCTCGCCCATACTTTCGAAAAGTTTACAAGACAAGGGAAACTCCTATTTGAGGAGTGGTCAATAGAGGAGCTATTCAACATGTGAAAACGTCATGTGGTTTCCGTGATTGAGGGACGTGTGGTGCCATATCTTCTCTAGTTGCAATTTAAACACACTACTGAACTTTAAGTAGAACTTTAAGAAGAACATAAAGTTGACGGCAAGTCAGGGACTGCGTCTAACTGATGAGCCTCAAGAAGGGCAAAACCGGTCGTGGGATGTGGAAGAGTTTTCAGCAACCTTGTGAGTAGTTTCTTTTATGAGAATGCGATGAAACTTTCTGTTTTTTAGGGAATACATATAGTGTGTGTCTGATAGGGTTTCAGAGAAGACTTACTTCTGCACAGTGTTCATCTGCCCTGAAGCACAGAATTCTGCTACTCATTAAAATACTCATAAACCAAATTTGGGACGCCAAACACTTTAGAAGCTGCATGTAGCACGGCGGTCGTCCGATCCCCTCCAACATGGAAGTTCGCAAGGGTAAATTCATCCAGAGGAATTCTGACTTTAGAATAACTCCAAGAATGAACCCTCAAGAAGGTTTATCGAGCAGACGAAGGACTGACGATGTTGGCTGTAAAGGGATAGACCGACAGCACGGGATACAGAGTGTTGGTTCCTGGAGGTATATGTGCTTTACGACTACAGAGAATGTTCTGTTCCGAAATGTTGTTTCGGGAATTCATAACATGGGCCAAGGATACTTGTCTCGTTAGCTTTTTTTATCTCGCCGTTCCTCAGATTCACTGCACGCGACCTGCAAATGGATATTTTGGACACCACACGAAACGTCGGAAAAAACAGGCAGGAATCGAATGACTGGTTCTGACCCCGTGATCCTATCCAATGTGCATCATTTATGGACATCAGTCCGTTTCCAAACTGCAGATTAGCACGCTCCATGTTAGAGGAAGCTTTCTAATCAGTGTGCTGGATTCCCCAGACAGGATGTGACACCCGATTGCCCCGCTAGAGTCATTTTATGCGGACTTTACGGATTCTGTCCGCATGTTTTTATTCAAGTTGGTACTATGAGGTTGCGCTTGACCCCATAGCCCATATATGTTCATCCAAATTCTAGTAAATGTCTATATTTTTAGGAAAATAAATCTGGATTTTTATCTGGAGTAAGCTTGAGGGTCGACATGCATGCAAAATCATTACTCCGTGTTCTCGTAACATTTCGTGCTGCAGTTAAAACATGATCATTATACAACCTGATTGCTTGTTCGATTGCCCGGTTACCTTCTGTGTACCGGGCGTGCATCTAATATCCTACCATCTCATCTTACTTCTCCTCACGAGTAGTTCACTAATGCAGCAATGCCCTGTCTAATTTCGTCAGGTATCACCAATCTACTGTCGGTTAACGATCCATCCCACACCACCAGGTCACATGGCAGACGGGAACCTTGGAATATCGTTTCTGCGACATTTCGCTACGGTATTCGACATGGACAATGAACAAGTGGGATTTGCCAAACTTCCCATGTAGGCACCGACTTAGACCGGAATATTCGATAGGTCACATTGAAAATCTGTGCTAATTTTGTGTGCTATTACTCGTCTGTTTTGAGTTGAGCCTCAAGTTTGATTCATTGAGGTTGCCACTAATAACGGTTTATTCGCAAAGCTTGTTTATTTCACAATCAAACTGGTTAAGTTGGTGGTGAACATCCGCTGCTCCTACTTCCTATTCCTTCTCCGCCATACAAGCGACAATACGGTTGGTAGACAGGGTTCCGTTAATTTCATACTGTGACAGTTGACTTGAGAGTTGAATGAAGTTACGGGAGCGTTATATAAATAAGCTGGAGAACACAAGGATCCTCAAAGGAAAAAATCGTTCAACTGTAGCACCCTTTTGGTGCCTGTCGTACCACTTTATTCGCAAAGCTTGTTTATTTCACAATCAAACTGGTTAAGTTGGTGGTGAACATCCGCTGCTCCTACTTCCTATTCCTTCTCCGCCATACAAGCGACAATACGGTTGGTAGACAGGGTTCCGTTAATTTCATACTGTGACAGTTGACTTGAGAGTTGAATGAAGTTACGGGAGCGTTATATAAATAAGCTGGAGAACACAAGGATCCTCAAAGGAAAAAATCGTTCAACTGTAGCACCCTTTTGGTGCCTAGCTGTCGTACCACCCGAAGAAAGCACGAGAATCAGGCCGCCCAATCCTAGACGGGGGAAGTCGAGAGGCAGAGGTTGGGTTCGAACCACGGATCTCAAGAAGGTCATCCGCAGAATTAACCCTCATTTCCATATATCCAAGCTCGTTTTCTAACCGATCGTGGTTGATCAAAAAGTACAACTAACGCATTTGTTAATTTAAATTGCTCAGTTTCCCCCTATTTCAAATTATTGCTCTCTTGACTATAATAGAAAATGCACTTGGGCGATGCGACAAGCAAGCTGACAGCAGTCACACACATGACCTCAACTCACAGGCATGGAACAGAAAGCATTCTATTTGGTGCTTGCCGACTTTTCTCTCGCTCGATGTTAACCACGCGAACGCCCTATTTGGTCGATAGATCGTGTGGATAAAGGTGTTTTCTGCGGCAAAGTTTCGACGGACTTTCGGTAATGGTACGACTTCAGCAACGAAGTAACTTTCTAAACTAAGACGTCACAGAGATCACCACCAATAAAAATGGAACAGATGATCTTTTTCTGTCCTATATGTGCTATACGTGGATGGTAAATTTGTGAACACTTGGTACAACCGATGAGCAAACCGATTGCGAATGGAGATGTCAAATTGTAAGGCGCTGCGGACGTTCGTAAATTGCAAACAGCGGAAGAAGTTACGATACATGGTCACTATCAGTCTACTAATGAAACCCATGGGGAGCAGCGTCCCACGATCTAATCAGGCAACCGTAGTTTTTAATTAAAATTTGTAGTTGGTGTGAAATTACTGAAAATCACGTTACAAAACTAGCCACAGGCTGAGCAACTGGCTGGCGTTTGATAATTTGGCACATTCATTTAGCTACTCAAATGCTGAAAGTAGTTTACAATAATTGACCGTGGAATCTAATAAGCTGGGGGCTGCTTCGGAAAGGCGGACGGTTCAAACTGTTTGTCTACCGTACGTCCAAAAAGTCTCCGCTTTTTTAATGAGAACCAACCAAAAAATCTCGGGGCATGGACTTCCGAAGCACCTGGCCACCAACAGAACTCCAGGTTCCTTCGAGCCCTCGCGACGTGGTCTTATGTTCACGTCCTCGCGAGTCCATAAACGACGAAAGCATACTGGCAAGGCCTGCTAAGACTCAATCGAGTGTTCACTAGGTTGCGTGATAGCTGCTGATCAATTTTTCCTTCATTGTACAGGCCAGACACATATGCATCGGGATAGATGTGTCTCTGTAGCATTCTGTGTTTGTGTCTGTGTCTTTGGTTGCGCAGTCATGGTGGTAGGCGGAAGATGAGGACGCCATTGCACCAAATGAGTTTTTTATTTGGCGCTTGGTGATCGTGTAGAGAAAATGATGTAGAATGGTTACGATGGCAATGAAGCTGCGCGTTGATTCACTATAGTTATCGATGGGATGTGAATAGCTGAGGAATACCGCGTCTCGGAAATTTCGGCGAGACGTTGATGTAGTAGCAGACAAATCTATTCTCTACGAATTCGCCCACAGAACAGAATAAAAATTTGAAAAAAGTATAAGGAACCATTCCCGGGACTGTCTTGCACTGCAGGATTGCACACGAACACCGGAGCTGAGTGCCTGCTAAGCTGTATCAACTGCAGCAAATACGGTAGACAACTCAGAACAGTTAGCAGATTTTTGAACCGGTTTTCATTTGACAGACTCATTCTTCGCACTATTAACCGACCTGACGTCTAAAATGCCAGTTATACACTACTTTGCTTCATCCATACTACTTTTGACATAAGAGCACGTGCTGCAGTTGCCTGATAGTCGCGTTCCACTTAAACAGAATCTTGAAGCTTCTGCGGTTGAGTTGTCAGAAGCTGGTTTGACGATCAGCCCCCGGTAGTTGAAATGAATTGTGATTTTTTGGTCAGGAAACATCGAGCTACCGCGCTCTTAGTCGAAACGTTTTGCTTTGCTGTGGACCTAATTGTTCTTCTGGGTCCGCCAGACACCGTCAACCATTTATGCTTTGTTTTCAAGTGAAAAGGGATATGCAGTCACAAACGGCAGCTGCTAAAACTGCTCGATGAGATGGCGCCTTCCCCGTTGAAGCCTCATCAGATAGAAAAGGTCATAAGGAATTGCCTGATTCCGAGGTTTGCTTATTCGCTGGTTCTCAGTCAAGTCCACCGAAACGCGCCCGGAAGGTAGGATAAGTATATCAAGTAATCTATTCGTGGATGGCTAAGTGTACCGAAGTTCATCGCAATCAGCTACATTTATACCGGTGAAAAACATGGGGAGCTCGGGATCCCAAAACCGGTTGTTAACCATCCGGATGAATCAGAGAGCATATGTGAAAGAGCTAGTGTACTTAGTATCGAGTACTACGCGATGTGGTCACTTATTCTGCATCTGGTAAGATAGCTGAGGATCTTGGCCTTCCGATCTGATCGTGTGAACACCACTGGATGCTTGGTTCGGCAGCTCACACAACAGCATTGATACTTGTCATTTACGAGAGTTGGTTTGTAGTTAAAGAACGTTTGCTTCCTAGAATATTCATCCAGGCCATCCAGCTCCGATTCAACGCGCATAGGAGATGAAGGGCCCGACCTGAACAACAGCCGATATTTATCAGGAAGCGTTCAAACATGAAGAGTTCATATGTAGAAAACGACGCGTCCCCAAGGTCACCATCGGTACAACACGTTCCGGATAGCAGATGCGTTGGGGGTGCTCACCAAACACGCCTGAGGAGGATACGACCAGTGGATTGGGTGAGAAATAGCTCACGCCAGGAACGTTGCCATTGGCTGGACAGAGCAAACAAGCGAATGACCATATTTGGGTATTTAGCCAAATTTATGCAGAATGTCTACACGTTTGTCCTGATAATACAACCATGATCCTTACCGCGTAGTGTGACAGGCCCAAAATCAGTAGGTGGCCACAACAACACTATAAGTAGTTCTGTCTAGTTCGGTGCTCTGACAGTTTTGATGCACTAATTATTGTGTTCTGCTGTTCAGCTGTTCTAAGTAGTGTTCTCGTAAATCTTGATATTGATTTCCTATGAAACTTGTCCTCTTCCAATGAAACTGTTCCATCTACCGGGGGTGCATGTGTGCTCGTCATACGTGATGACAGGCAGGCTGGTCTACGGAATGGGTTGATGATTACTGTCTGAGTTCGCCGGAAACGAGGCAACTACCCGACTGCGGATAGCGGATATTTCAAGCCATTTCTTCATTCTAACGGAAGGATAACTGAAACGATTTACTTCTTGTTACTGTATCATCGGAACTGTGTCTGTTTGTTAAACATTTTCTTATCGTACGGGGCGAGGGCAACCCCAAAGACATTTTGAACCCGTTCTTCATAATATGCACAGAAATCCGGTTGAAGTGTTGAAAAGGTGAGATTGTAAACATAAGACGTGCACATACTACTTGAATGAACGACTGGGCAAAATACACCGAGGATGTTCCCACTGTAGGCAGCCAGTCTGAGTACCTTGGTTGCAGTGCTTACGTAGCATCTGCACACGCTGGATTGTGTGGCAAATTGCTAGACATTCTTACTTTTAGCAGTGTTGCGTTCCTCCGTAGCTATACATCACTGGAATGTACGTTGCTGTTTTTTTTCACTGTTCACTCATTGAACCATGTGAATGCACCTCCGATAGGATGCCTAAGTTGGTCTACACCAAGATTCCAAATTGGCCGAGAAGAATAACCAAGATAACAAAATTAGGAGGGAATTCGCACCCCGAGAGGTAAAGCAGATGGCCAGTTGGGTAATCAGTAACATGTCAGTGAATGGCGACGGGGGAAGTTTCGTCACAGAATGGAGGATTCTGTGATTGAAGATGTAGGCAAAACTGAGAGTAATTTGTTTCAGGAGGATCCACTTGAAGAAGTGGTCTTTGATAATTGGCCTGATAATGACGCTGCTCACCTAGCATCTTCCCGATGGAGCTGTTCTGAACGCTGCATCTTGTGGGCAGCTGCTGTCTGTTGACGGAGCCGGCAACTTTCGTCGATATACATTTCGTTTGTAGCACTAACCGTTTTTCTGTCTATTGTATATACATTGTGTTTGATATGTTTGGAATGATCACTCGCCCACTTACCGCCAACATCCACTCCCCAACCGACCCAAACTGAGGCTCCATCAAATGCAAGTGCTGAGCGCGTTTTCCGATCATCCAGTCCGCGCACTGCGTTTCTTCAAGGGTTTGCACGCTCCATTGCACCGGGAGCCATTGGTGCTACCCGGTTCTTCGGCTTGCGAGTGCTGACGGACAGGAACTCAATTCTCCTGCCGCTCCGGTACGAAAATGCACTGGTGCAACAGAGTCAGGCGGTTCAAAATGTATGAACAAACCACCTGAGAACGACTGATAGCTTACAGTAGACTGCACATTCAGTTAGGTCTGGACGACAGCCAGCTGCCTTACACACATTCACTTCGGCTAACGAGTGCTTGCATTCACACACACACACAGACAGACGGATAGACAGACAGACAGACAGATAGACAGACAGATAGACAAACAGACAGCCTAAATGGTGCGAATTAGCCACCAGCTGGAAGTAGTTCGTTAAGGGCCATCGAAACACACAGTAGGAATTCACCAATTAAAAGTTTGGAGTAAAATGCTGGACAGCATACTACAGTCCTATCCCGCTTGTTGGACTCACCCGATAGGTCTGGCTCATCAATTTCCATCAATCTTTTTGTAATACATTACTCATAAGGTTGCTGAAAACTCCTCGACAGCCCACGACCGGTTTCGCCCTTTTCGAGGCTCATTGGGTTGGCGCAGTCCCCGAGTTTCTGTCAACCTAATGTTCTACTTCAAACCAAATTGCACGAAATTAGCGAATATACACTCATTAGGAAACTAATTTGGTTTTTCAAGAGACTCATCTGGAACCCAGATGAATCTCTCAGTTTTGATGTTTCCAAGCAATTGAATGTGCTGCATCGGGCCGCCCCATGTTTCAGTCGCTCCGATATTCGAGATATCGCGATACACATACATTTTCTGATACACTACTCATAAGGTTGCTGAAAGCTCCTCGATAGCTCACGACCGAAAACATAAAAACTGGGAGATTCACCTGGGTTCCAGGTGAGTAGTAACAAATCGATGAAGATTTCATCGATAACCCCTCAGGCACTACACCGTCTGCTATTTTCTTGCCAAAGAATGGGAGATATTCAAGTGATAGTCTGTCATGTTCGGTTGTTTGTATACATTAGGACGATGGTAGTTGAATGTTCACGATCATTTCCGTTCACTTTAGAACTAGTTCACTGTTATTCATCGCAATCTGTCAGGAGTACTCTGGGCAGCTTCAGCAGCAGAATTGTCTTTCGATGTATGTAAATCTCGTAGAGAAGTGAACTAGTTAAACTCACAGCTCACTCCGTTTAAGACTCGAACCGTGTTGGTGGCCCCGTATTGGAGTTCAATTGACGTTACAATGGTTCCATCTTTCCCGGGTAACAAAAGTGATATTCGTGGGTTTTTTTGTTATTTCAAGCAGGGTCACAAAAATATCCCACAAGCTTCGGCAGAACAGCGATCCTCATCATCCCCATCATTCCTATCAGCTGTAATAACCGCGTACTCGTCGTACAGTGGTTGTAGCTGCCGCAGTTTTGTTCACCGATGTTTTGGGGAACTAAGGTGGGTTACTGCACATTTGAGGCGAGAGCTGATAAATTGGTAGGTAAATACCGGGCTGTCAGTGGACTTTTAAGTGGGGTGATTGGGAAGGAAGCTATGCATTGAAGGCAATAGCTTGGACTCACAGGCGCCATTGAGGGCGCGACTAGGCCATGTCTGGCAATGTCTCTAACCATTGATGTGTCCTGTCTCGGGGTCCCCATTCAAGGAGACGGCAATAACCAGCGCAGCTGAGTTTGCTGGTAATGGCATTCACACTTCACTGCCAAGTCATTGTTAGACACCGCGTGGCTCGTTTCCACCCTTCGCAAAAGGAAGCCTTTAAAGAATTCGGTCGACTGGCATACGCAGCACGTGGCCAAACCACCTCAACCTGTGGAGTGTAATCAATTCATCTATCGTGGGTGAGGTACTTCTTCCGGATAACATTCGACGTACTTCAGCATTGCTGATCCGGTGTCCCCACCAGACTCCAACACTGTTTTGAAGATATTGCAAGGAAAGCCGGAAAGACCTTGAATAGTCACAGTGCGTGTGAATCTTGACCATGAATTCAAGTTTTCATTTATGATTCGTTCCTAAACCTACGGGGAGAGTCGGACTTGCAAATAGTGTAAGTCCAATACAAACGAAAGCAATGCAAAAAGGCGAATAGGTTGCGTCGGATTCCCGAATCCACAGTTATTTCAAGTTGCTCTGGGGACCAGGGGCGAATGGGAAAAATCCATTACAGGAAAAGGGCGCGCTATGCCTGGCACAATCATTCCACCACACACCCACAAACAGCTGATCAGGATCAGATTGTTTTACCGTTCCATAGGATATTAGCGGTGGGTATATCCGACTTTAACCAGTTAAAATAATCAGAGTCCGTACAACAGTCATCGCGTACTCCACTTTACTGTTTTTGCTCAACCAGCGTCACTCTGAACGGCATACCAATGTCATGCGACAAGAATCAACTGGGCCTGATATCTTCAAGAAAACTGCCTTACACGGAGAGAATTAGCTGTCATAAAGGAAACAATACGGAAATGTTTGAGAACAAGATAGACTTGATTAATGTGAACCCAGTAAGAATCGTCTCAAGGCAACTCGTATTAGGCCCGCTGGTTGGCAGGACACTAGAATGAAGCAATCTGGGTTTTGCTTGGTTGAGGCTGTGTTATGCTGCATACTATACTACTTCTTAGTCGGTTGGTGGAAGCCGGTATCAGGCTAAAGTTTGTGAACTGGTGCGGATAGACGAGAGGCAAGAGAACCGAGTGTTTGGGACACCTACGGGATCATGAATCGCATTTTCTGTCGCGCGAGCGTCCTCTCAAAGGGGTTGACTTTAGTGGACTCGGTCAACTGTTGATGACTGATTCCGTCAAACGTGGTCCAATAAGGCCTAATGATGAAAGAGCTGGAGAATCTGTTGTCTCTGTGTGGTGGTGACCTCGTATTCTAAATGTTCACCATGATTGGGTCCTTTCAGGCACCAATCACTTAACTCCAAGTGATATCAAGTGTGATCCAACGGCATTTTGACACAAAAAATTAGTTGGTACAAAGGCCTTTGTTCCAGTTTGAAGGGTCGAAAATTGTCATGTTGGGGTTTATTGGTATGGGCATACGGTATCTGATCCTAGTTAGATTGATTACTGCCAGGTGGGTGTAACTCCTGATTGTACATCACCGTGTTGCTGTCAGCATATCGCTAAATAGCTCACTGGAAAGACAGACAAGAGATGACGATAAAAAAGTGATCGAAGTGACACTCTTTGAACGTGACGTAGGTTTCCCAGTTTTCGACCTGAGCTTCTCTGTTTTCCGTTAGGAAAACTCGGTGTATTACGGTATTGTTGGCATCGGATCTCCACCGCAATATTTCAAACTCGTTTTCGACACCGGTTCACCAGTCATATGGATTTGCAATGAAAAAAGGGGTGCAAATCTCTTTATGGTGGAAAATTCGTACGATACGGGCAATTCAAGGACATATACCAACCGTCGTACAGATTATTACGCGCGCTACGGGAATTACCTCGCAACTGGTCATGTTGCCTCAGATTACGTAAAAGTAAGCAGACCGCTTGCTGTCTCACCAGTCAGCTGGGTCGCAGACCGTTTTTGACAGATTTTGCTGTAGTGGATACTATACAGGGATACGTAGACCAACTCTACAGGATGGACGGGCTCTTTGGGCTTTCACCGAGCCAGCTAAACCCGAAGTTCAGCTCAACTGCGCTGGATGATATGGTTTCGCAAGGATTGATTTCCCAACGTGTGTTTGCATTCGTCTTTCCTCGGTAAGTTATACGAGCGATTCTAGCAAACTTGCCATCAATAAGGCGCACTCGACTTTGTAGAGCTTACCTGTGTTTTTTTAAAGGAGTGACTTTAAATTTGATTGTAGAAAGAATACGTTTGGTCGCTCGAGTGCTCTGTTACCATCCGGTTTCAAGCTAGGTAACCACCATGGATTTAACTAAATTGCACAATGACCAGTACAATTCGCTTCAATCTCACTAACCTCTCCGTTTTGCGAACAAACTAGCCATCAACCTGGTGTGTATGGTAACCAAGAGAGAGGTACACTTAAAGAATGCACTACTCACAAGGTTGCTGAAAACTCCTCGACAGCCCACGACCGGTTTCACTCTTCTTGGGGCTCATCAGACAGGCGCAGTCCCCCAAATTAGTTTACAAATGAGTGTATATTCGCTAATTTCGTGCAATTTGGTTTCAGGTAGAACATAAGGTTGACGGAAACTCGGGGACTGTGCTTACCTGATGAGCCTCGAAAAGAGCGAAACCGGTCTTCGGCTGTCGAGGAGTTTTCAAGCAACCTTGTGAGTAGTGCATCACAAAAATATATATGTATCGCGATATCTCGAATATCGTAGTGACTGAAACATGAGGCAGCCTGTTGCAGCACATTGAGTTGCCTGAAAACATCAAAACCGGAAGATTCAGCTGGGTTCCAGGTGAGTCTCCCGAAAAACCAAATGAGTTCGTAAATGAGTGTATAGAGACTTGAAGAACACTAGAGTTCCTGCAAATCAAAGCACACTTATCTCTGCCATAGACCGACTGTCGTATCATTTCAGTGAAGCAATTGGGGAAGTCATTAATTCATCGTTGTCCAAAAAGATTTCAAGACCTCCAGAGTCAATTTCGTAGCCAGTTGTCCGTAATTTGACAACGATACGACTACCAACCATCTTTTAGGCGCCTTGAATTACAACATTTACTGCGGTTTGAGAAGTAAATCGCGAGCTTGAACAAGAGATCTGGTAGATGTGCTCCGTATCCAGCGTCTCCTCTGACCAATATAAAGGTAATTTTCAAGAGACCAGCGAAGATGTTTCTACCTTTAATCTGGCCGGTTAATTTGATCCAATGGACACATAGTTTGAATTCCGTCTTCATGTTTTAGGGGCGCAGCTAAAGGAACGGTATTATTTGGTGACGTTTCTAAAGATAGCATTCCAGGGACAGTGCACTATGTTCCCTTGCACTCGGAGGCTCCGGACTACTGGATGATCTCGTTTCAAAGGTGAGTGATAGAACGTGAATAGTTTTACGCGCTCCAAGTGCTTTACTTGAATGTCATTCCGGTCTTATTTAATCACCAATGGCCCGGTGAAAGGCAGTTACGATGGAAAGGTGTTGTCTCAGTTCCCCAATTTGGATTTGGTACTGATCGACTGAGACACAGAATGTCCGAGCGAAATTCACACGATGCGCGTTCTGGCGATGGCTGACTGCTATTGTTTGCCGTGAACGACGTGATTATTGTTCAACACAACCAATGGCTGTTATATCTGCTGATTCGTCAATCTGTGGTATCTGCTGCTGACCCTCTCCAGTGCCTAATGCCGGAGAAGGGAACACATCCGCTATATTCCGAATAAACGAGTGCGAGAGCAAAAGTTACAACGGCCCCACACTATTTAAAGGGGACTTTCTGACATTGATCCAGGCTGTTTGATAGGCGTTAATGAACACCCATCAACATCGATCATGTCTCTGTGAAAAGCCTGAACGCTGATCACATTCGGTCGTGCTTCTGTGGCGTGCAAGAACACTCATCAGGTGTTGCTGAATTGATTGAATGATTGACTGGCCTGGATGCTTGCCGGCCTTCCTGTTGAGTTTTTGGTAGAGCAGTAGGTTCCGGGCGTTCTGAGGTTGCTTTCAGGAATCTGACCTTCCTGATAGTAGCCATGAATGACTTTTGCTGGCCCGTTTTTACAGGTACAGTGGTAATGTAGATTTGTCCTGGGGATGAATGTTGGCCGGCTTTTCCATGTGTTGTGATAACGTAGATTTTGTTCTATAAGTGAAGCCAGTCTACACTGAAAAGCCTAGAAGCAACGTACAGCTGTTCCATCCTCCTTGAGAATCATCTGCAGCGCGAAAATCACGAAACTCGAGAGAGTCTTGAACCAGCCGAACAATTTACTTTTCGGCCACGAGTGGCTGACTAGCACAGTGGTTCGATCTCAATTAGAAAGGGTATAGCTCCGCTCGTCCTTCGATCATAGAATCCACATCACGTGTTTACCTGCTACTCGACCAACAGCACACTGATGATCATGAACAAACGGCTTAGTTTTGGAACTACTAACCCCGAGGTCGCTGGTTCGAGACGCTCTGGAGTTTTGTGAGATTCGCGCTGCTGTTCAATTTCCTGAATTTGCGCACAATACCGACGTAATTTTATTGTGTCACATCTGACTGAGTGGCAGGCTAAAAGTGTGTGTTGGAATGCGAGCATCGAAGGAACTTTTGATGCTTTGATCTCGTGGCGACTATTGACTAGCCTTACTGACTACAGGCTGCTAAACGAATGGTTCTTGGGTCCAATCGGGCTTCGAGGAAAACACAATGAGGGCAGACTGTTATTCCTACCTGACTATCAAAGCCGGTCGTCACCACAATGAACGATCGGACTGTCGTGTGAAGTCGAAGAGGGGTGACTAAATTTCGGATGGGAATTCAGCAACAGGAGAGACTGTTTCTGTAATGTATAAAACTAAGGAATCCGGGACGATTTAATCCTTCTGGTCTTTTTGAGTTTCAGAATTTGATCGGGTCTTCTGTTTCCAGATCTGAATTTTGTGCGTTCATTCGCCCTTGGAGTCATTCGTGTTTGTTTAGCCTGAAGTCTCGCTCTCATTGTTCTCACGATTTGTCGTCACATTTAGACCGAAGGAATAAAAGCGTTTTGAAGTGAACAATGAGGGCTGATAGGCCTCGCTCTGTTCCCTCTAGTCACCCCAACGGTCGATGTTCCTAGTGATGGGTTATCTCACTGTTTTACTGATAATTTTGCCCACCACTATCACGATACCCCGAGGGCAATGAAGTCAACATTCTCAACTTTTGGGGAGATGCGTACTTTTTTGGTAAGACTGTATAAAGTGGCGCATTGTTTACTTACTTGTCACTGACGGTGTGTCTTTTATTGGCTTTTCGCGTGTGACTGTGGCAGTACTGAATATCAACCACAGTCAACTACACCTGATACAAGGATGTTCAAACGACCGCAAATTTTGTAGGATTCAAGCATAACATGATATTTTGAGTTTCAGGCTTGCTTATACGGATGGCGTTACTTTACGCACTGGACTTCGTACCATCTTGGACACTGGGACGTTCAGATCGCATCTACCAGGATCTGTGTTAGAAAATCTATTTTCCAAGATCACAGTCACACCACAACCATATGGTGACGCTGTTGACTGTGGTGCAATCGGAACAATGCCAGCATTGGTTTTCCACTCTGAGCACTTTCAAGTTGCCTGGCACCCATCTCAATACGTTCAACAGGTAAATTTAGAACGAAAAGCTGATTTTATGCCACGTTTTTCTGCAGTGTTATTGCTCAGTTGACAATGAATGCGAAAAGGATCAAAGTAGTTATCAGTACCTATGGTCTATGAATTTGGAGAGGCATATCGTTCTGTACACCAGTACCATACTTACCATGTGTTTACTTCCACCGAATATATGACAATAACGAATGTAGCGATCCGTGAGCTGGGTCAGGCAGTAAAACACTATGATATGGAAAATTGCTTCGACCCCCTACCCCCCGATGACTGTGACGAAACTCTGGTTACTGTCCAGTGCTTGGTTCTGGGTGCCCAAACCCAGCCCAAACGGACTAGGAAGTTGCCCACCAGTTAGACATACTTGGTGCCGCCTGTACTTTCCTTAATCTAGAACATCAGCGAGCTACATTACGGAAAGAATTTGTTCGTTTTTCATTAGTCAACCAAAAAGTCCGCAATCCAACGGATCGATGGCTCTCAAATGAGTGTGATGGTGCGTACTGACTTGGGATTGGTAACAACGCCAGTAGCCAATCCTATTTCGAGGACATCCTGGTGAGCGATTTTCGGTTTTCGTGTCGTCCACTATTCCACTACACCAGTCCGATGTATCAGGGCGATACTCCGTTTAATCCTGCTCCTAAAATAGGCCAGTTCAAAAGAATTTTTTGGAAAAGCACCATATTTATCATCATCATCATCATCATCATCATCATCATCATCATCGTCATCATAATCGTCATCCTCACCATGATTCAAGTGTTCAACACTGATGCTTTGCGGCCTTGGAGCTTATTCATATATGTGCGCTCCATGGCCCCAGTTCGGCTGGGATATTTCCAGGGCGCCCACACGTAGACAAGATGACGCTTATGGTCCTCAACCAAAGCCTTCAGATCACTCTCAGTAGTAAACCGTTGACGATGAATCGCATCTGTTCCAGCTGTTAAGGTGTTCCAGCTAATCGAATGCGGGTCTTCGTGTCCCCTGGGTGATTTTGTGAACCATGTTACATTCTGTGCATGCATCTTCAATTAGTCGTTATGAGATCCAAATTTATTTGGAGTCTGTCTGAAATTCTACCCAAAACCAACAGGAATAAGCTTCTTGATAAAATTTTCCCTTTTTTGGTTTGTCATAACTGACCCTGTAAAAGGACTTGCCTCACCATGAAACCCGATCTTTTTGAACTTATGAAATTTATCCCGAATACTTTCTTCCAACAGATTTCACCAGGATGTTGCGTTTTAACGATCCAGGCTGCGGCGTCAAGCCTTCCTGCTGTTGTGCTCCTGGGAATGTCATTCTTGCGCCATTATTCGACGGTATTCGACGTGGACAAGAAACAAGTGGGATTCGCCAAAACTGCGGAGATGTCGGCTTCCGTCTGAACATTTGTTTGACAGCACTTACAATCTGTACAACGTGTGTGGTAGTTCACTTCACTGTTCAAACTTGCCCATATCGGCTGGTCTCATTTGACATGTCTGTTCATTGAAAGGTGAAAATAAGGGACGCACTTTTGGGCAACTTCCAGATTTTCCCCTCGTGCAGGTTAGGTTGGTTGAGACAGAGATTTTTAATTCTTTTTCCTTATATTATCGTTGCAATACTCATTCAATGTGCATTCGAACAGGTATTTGATTACGCTGCTTCACTAGGAACCAGCCAGGAATGCTCCCTTTTCAGAAACGGTTCTCTTTCTGAATCGCAAGAATTTAGCCAGGAAAAGGTGACCGCTTCCACTTGCATCACTTGTGGCAAAGTGAAAAATGAATACGTGCTTCATAAAAATGACTTGAAATTGCCTATTAAAGGAACCTGAATCTGTCTGCTTCACACTGATGGATTTAGTGGACTCGATTAACGGGTGCACTTCAGTCTGGTTGATTTTGAATGGTTTTCTCTTTTGTGTAACTAGGAAAAACATGCCCAGTTCTTTTGGAAGAACCACCAACACCTGTAAAGTGAGATCTTAGCAAACTGCTTCGAAAAGCTTTATTTCAAGAAATGATTTACTAGGTATGGTTGATGAGAAGGACGGATCAACTTTCGCTGAATTTACCATTTTTTGGAGGTTGCCCATCTTCAAAGCAGTTTTGCACATTGTTGGTCTTTACAACGACAGGTAAGTAGACTCTATGTCATCGGGTACACTCCTAACAATGACACAGTTCCAACCTCAACGTACTTTTACTCACAACCGGCTGATGATATCACCCCGACTGGTGATGGAACGTTTCCAAAAAATTTCTCAGCCCAGCGAACAAAAAAACGACTTCTTGTTTCACGTATTTATTTTATTTGATACCCTGATAAAAATCGTCTTGGTGAAATTGGAGCTCCAGATTGGTGGTTGGGAGGTGGACAAAACATTTTTTCGAAACATTTTTAGGAACCCTTTGAAGAGTTTCCTCCAAATAACACTAATACACAAAAAAACGTGGTCCACCAACTTAATAGCTATTTTTGCGAGAAGAAAACACAACACTTCTTGTTTCGTTTGTGTGATGATGTCTTTGAAGCCACAAGCAAACGTAAGTCGGTCGTTTGACATTCGTGCACTGACTTTTTAAAACATCTAGTGATTCTACCTGAACTATAAGGGGTATGCTAAGAGACTTCAAATTTTTCGAAGCATCACTTCGAAGCTGCAAGACACGCGCCAAAAGATGGTATGACAGTGGTCATTTTATTCAACAGATTTTGTACATTGTCTTCCGAAATCAGGATGATGCCGTCTGGGCGCTCCAGATCGACAACGTTTCCACCATCAACGATTTGAAAGCCGGGATTTTGGAGACCTTCCAGCGCTTGCTTCATTATTTAATTATTTAGGAAGCTAAGCGAGAACTGGGAGAGTGGACAGTGTTTTTGGACTCAACTCTGTGTTCGAACTATTTTCCAAGCCCCCACAGAGTCAAACGGTGTCGCGTACATTTTGATTCCAAGGACAGTTGGCTTAAACACAGTCTTCTGACCTCAAAAATGCGAATGGTATGTGCAGAGATCATGAATAACTTGCTCATCGGGGGGCAATCTTTTGCGGTGTTGGCATTTAGTGCCAGGTTTACCGCAGAAACTATGCGACACGACACAAGACTCGTCGGATTAAAGGACTCAGTTAGAGTGGCAATAATTCAAGCGACCGGTTTCAGCAATAAAAGCATCAGAAACCCACAGAAGCGTCTGAAGTATGATATACATGACTCTGAAGCCCGCCTTTAACCGGGCTAGTGAAATAATTTATTGAACACTAATAGACTCATTTTCGGAAATTTTCATTTTGTCCGGTTCAATAAAATTTATAGCCTAATATACACAAATCCTAGGGGAATCGAATAATATACATTGTTACAACTTTTTAGGACAAATTTTTATTCAGGCGTGCGAAAACGTGACCAGCTAATAATCAATAAACAGGCCTTTGGAAAACTACTCTTCATATATTGACGCATTGCTACTGACAAACTGCCCTCCAGGGTTTCAGATGTTTGGGTTTAATTATCACCTACTTTGAATATTTAAGTAGCTAAAAGAAGCTGTTTGATTTTAATGTGCTCCGGTCGTCTTCTCGGGGGTTTCTCAGAATTACGGGCCTACGTCAGAGTGTTTGAACCATGCAGACTCCTGGAACAACAAACCAGAGAAAAACTTGGTATTCTATAGAACCTATCTGAAAATTCCGAGAGAATTTCAACCTTCTAACTTACGCACAGCCTCTCTCTTTTGGCCAATATACCCCAATTTTACCTCCGGTACGTGCACCGGAAATTAGCTGCTTGTTCAGAATTCAGTTAGAAGATGCCAATCACTTGGATCTATCCAACGATACTGTAGTAAAGGTATCATCTCAGCTT